CGTTTGCAGTTGTGTGCCAGGATTTACGTTTGTTTCAAATGGGTTTGAGGGCTCCCCTCTGCTCACCTTGCTGTTCTTCAGCACAGCTGATTGGTTGCATATTGCTTTCCTCAGGCAAACCGATCTCTCCATGCAGGGAATATCCAAGGCTGCAGTGCGCTTCTGCAGAAATAGTCACTCTCCAGCACACAGCAGTCAAAGCTCCACGTGTATTTTTGGTAAAAAGCATTTCAAATCCCTCTTTGAATTCAAAAAGTGCTGAAAAACTGCATTCACTGCTGCCTTCTGCTGGGTGCAGTCAGACTTGCATGTAGCCAGTTCCGTTTGGGGTCAAAGCCAGAAGGGATTCCCTTCTACAGAGCCAAAAATAAAGGAGCCCTTTTCCTCCAGCTGGGCCCAGAGTCCTGAGCTCAGCACACAGATCCAGCGCTCCTTACAGCACAGTTCCTCCTCATCATTTCCTCCCGGTTCTACAGGTCCTGGGGATCTGGTCGGGTGAAAAACCAGCTCTGTTATCCTAGAAGCACCTGGTCCGTTGGCGTGTTTTGGTGAAAGTTTTGCAAGCTGGTTTTTCAAGGTACCCTGGCCAGATTCCAGTTGGAGTAATTGCTCATCACTTCCCTTCCATCCTCCTGTGGTTCCTCCTGGATTGGATGCACCTTGCTCTCATCCTCCCACCTTTCTCATAGCACGGCTCTCTGTGTGTGGTGGCCAAGTTTTGCCATGTGTATTGATATAGGCTGGTGATTTCGGGGGACAGTGTGGCTTTAGCTCAACACCGGCAGCACTGAGCTTGAACTCACCTCCCAGATTGCGGATAAGAACCTCCAAAAGTAAGAAAGTCCTCCCACCAGACTAGGGGATGTAATGAAATAATGCTGAATATGATGGGGAAAATCTTACAGAGAGAGATGCAGGATGTTTCTCAAACTACAGACCTTGCAAAATGGGTTTTCCCATGGTTGTTTGAAGACTTTCCAGGGTTGTCATGGTTTTATGATTTTTGTTACTCTGTCAGGGTGTTCCTGCTTGGCTTCTCTGATGTCTGACCACGAGGTGTTGGGAAGGCTCCCTTCCTCTTCCCTTCTATATGCCCTCCAAAGAACCTGTGCGAGCTGAAAGTGTCTTGGATGCGTCAAATGTAATTGAATTGGGCAAGCAGGCGTTGCACAGGGCCCTGCTGACAGATGGACTCCCACGTGCCAGGGCCACGCATACCTCACTTCTCCCAGTGGTTTAGGAGGTAAAGAGACATGGAGGCTTTGCCATCACGAGGAGAATGGCTTCAACCACTCTTCTTGTTGGCATCTGCAAGCAAACAAAGCACAGCCAACTTATCCCAATTCATTGCAGGGCCACATGGCTTGGTGGCATCTTGGGGACAGTGTGCAGGAGGCAGACAGGGACCTGAACCCACTGCTTGCATTGCTTGAAAGGGAGGAAGGCAGCCATGCCTCATCCTTGCCCGGGGCCCTGCAGCTCTGCCTCACCCACGGAGGTGTGTGTGTCATTACTGGATACGTGTGCCAGCCCCTGTCGTCCCTGGGTCGCTGGTTGCATTTCTGAACCTGTACCATGCTTCTATTAATTCGTCTTTTCCACAGCAGCCCCAATTTCTGGCAGGTTCAGCTCTGTGTCAGACCTCAAAGCCCGGCAGATCATGGACATGGTTTAGTGGGAGCTGTTGGTAATAGGTGAACGGTTGGACTGGATGATCTTTTAGGTCTTTTCCAACCTTGGTGATTCTATGATTCTATCAGCTTGCATGGAGTTGAGTTTGGACTATAAGTGCTGCTGAGATCCAGACTAGCCCAGTTTTTGGGCTTGCCCTCTCTCCTGGCTCCATACTTTGACCAAGGACTTTCCAGCTGGCACAGGAATACAAGCAAGCCACAACAGCAACCAACTCCTTCTGCTGGAATCCGTGATTAGTTGGGATTAGATGGCTGGAGGAGAAAGTTTGCCTTGGTTCGTTTTTAAAGAAAGGCTGTTTCTTGCTGGCTCAGCTCTGGGAGCTTGCAGCAAGGTATGAAATAAACCCAGGTAGGGAATTCAAAGCAGAGCAAGCAAACTTTTTTGCTTTTCATTCTATTCCTGAGGCTGCTGCTTTCTATGGTGGGGTTGGGGCAAAGCCTCATTGCACCGTGGTGTCACTGTGCAGGCAGGTTCAGATGAGGCTTTCAAGGATTTCTCTAATCTACCTCACAATCTGCCCGTGCTTGCTTTAAAGTCGAGGGATTATTTTGCTGGCCTGAGGCAAGTGACATTTCCACCTTCTCCTTCCCTGGAGGCTTTGGCTTCCCCCAGCAACCTAATCTGGTGCTTTGGAGCAAAAAGCCCTTGAGCTCCACCGACCAACACCCAAAATTGGCTGTAGGAGCCTTTGCTGTGGATGTGTCCAACGTTGGCAGCTTTGGGGTTGGTTGAGCTGCACTCAGTTCTGGGTCTTGATTTTGGGACAGGCAGAAGGGATGGGCTACAGCACTTTGCAGGCCAGGTTTACTCTTGGGATGTCCTCATCTTTCTTGCTGCCATCCCACCATGCAGCAGGTGCCACTTTGGCTTGCCAAGGTGGTCGCAAAGTTGCCATCCAGCCCCTGCTGGTCACAGACCTTGTAACCAAGACCTTGTGTGTAAGTTGGGCTGATGCCATCAAAATGCTGAATAGTGTTAATGCTTAATAACAGCATTGCTCTGCTCCTCGCTGAGAAATTACTTGGCAGTCTCTAAAGCATCCAAGTAAGTGGATGCAAACACTTTGGTACTGGTCTGCAATGGAAATGCCAGCATCCTTAATAATTAATTTGCATCATAATAATCATTAAATTGACACATGGGGATAATCACATATAGTAGGGAAAGCAAAGCCTGATTAGAAAAGAGATCTCTGCAGATCATCCAGGATGAAAGCTGGGCCTGAAACCCTGGTGTCCTGATTTTCAGGTCTAGCCCTTTCCAGTGAAGCCACCTGCTCCTGTGACATTGGGAGGCTGCATTTCTGCTCATCTAGGTAAATACTTCGCATTCTTAGGCCAGTAGCCACTCACTGGGATTTAGACAGACCTGCATTTGTGAGATGGTTTTCCTCTTGAAATGTATTTGCCATGGAAGTCTCATCTTTGCCCACATAGTCTCCTCGTAGGGTTGCAAGGAGTCTGGGCTGCATCAGGGCAGAAGGGACCTGGAGAACAAGACCAGCCTCCAAAGCAAGTAGGATGCAGCAGGTAACATAATAAAGCATCGTCTGGAATCTCTTAAAAGCTGAAATCCTTGCATCCTGGCTCCAAGAGCTTGGGACTTTGCCAAGCAAAATGTTGGTTAGAAAACAATTATTTTCACCCCGTTCTGCCTCTGAGGCCCAGACGAGAGGCACTGAGAAACCTCTCACCCTAAGAAGTTACAGATAATTTACACTGATTGGGGCTTAAAGGGACTCATGATGATGTGCTGTTGGAGCTGAAGGCTTGCACTGAGTGGTCTCTGGATAAAAGTCTGACTATCTTCAGATTCCTCACGTTCCTGGAAAACCATGCTGAAATTTGAAGCAGAGCTTCTGGTCTCATACCCAGATTCATTGGTAGAGTCTTGGGAGAAAGGCCTCTCTGGAACTGTAGCAATTAGCTGAGGACTTGACTTTGCCTATGGACCCCCACTGTTGCCAGCCACTTCTTCAGGCCAAAGGTTTTGTAGAATCATAGAACCTTTATGGTTGGAAAAAGCCACCCAAGCCATTCAGTCCAACCCCAGCCCATCCTACCATGCCCACTGGCCATGTCCCTAAGTGCCACATCCCATCATTCCTGAACACCTCTAGGGATGGTGACCTCACCACATCCCTGGGCAATCTGTGCCAATGCATCACATCTCCTTCGGAGAATAAATTATTCCTAATATCTGAACTGCACCTAATCTAGCACAACTTCAGGCTATTCCCTCCCATTCTAAAATCATCATGTTGCAGAGTGTCACCATGCCCCTGGGTAGCAATGTGGTGGTCCAACTGGTATCTACATGAAATCACATTTTCCTGCTGAACACCTACTGTATTCTGGCACTTCACTGATGTCTTAAATAAATGGGTTGAGCTGAATATCTGGCAACCAAGGAAAGTGGTTGAGGAAAGTCCAAAATGCCCTTAAATTCTCAGAGCAGCTCCAGGACCGCCAACAGGCTTTGCAGGATGGCTGCCCCAAAACTGGTCAAGATGACAGTGTACAGGTGGAGCAACAGAACAGGAGAGGGAGAAAAGGTCTGTGGTCACAAGCGATGGCAGGGCATAGGAAGCAATGAGATCTGAGGCACTTTGTACAGTGATTTATGTTTGGATTTCATGGTCATATTATTTATCACAAGTCCGTGATGACACTAATAAAGGTTAATTTATGGTGCAATGAACATTGCAGATATTCATCGTGGGGAGTCATGAATTCATGGGTGGGAATGCACAGGTTGTTTTGAATCCTGGGCCAAAGCATTCCTCTTGAGGTCTAATACAAAAAGCGTTATCAGCTTAGGGAGGGTTTTGGTTGGTCTGTGGCAGCTCTGATCTCTGGGTGGCTGAGATCTCTAATTTGAACAGCACTGGTGTAAGTCTGGAATGACTGGCTTGGTTTCCTGACGGTGCAAGTTTTGGAAGTGTCATTGAAGACAATGATAGCTGCATGGAGAGGGAAAATTTGCGTGCCTGATTGTCTCGAGAGGATTCAGGCTGTTTTAGCCATCTGAAAATCTGGTTCAGTGAGAATGCTTCATGTTAACACTGCATGCCAAGAGCTGAATCCAGCCAGGGCAGGAATGGGAGCAGAGTTAGGTGCTCAAGGAGGAATGGTCCTTATTTGGTGGGTCGGTAGTTGGAAGATGGGGGCTGTGTTTTCACTGTTATTTTTGCAGATCAATAGGCTGTTGGCTTGAAGCTGGGCTGCATAATACATATATGACCACATAGATATTATATGACCAGAAATGTGAACCGAATAATGACACACGTGTAAATTCATTGGTAGAAGTAAATTTAAAGCACTTTATTTGAAAGAGGACAGTGAGTTATTAGACACTAAAACTCATTTGTAGGGCTCTTCACAGTTTATATGTCTTAAACATTGTCATGGTACATAATAAATTAAATGGTTGGATCTGAGGGCATGTAATTAACTTCAACATTGAAGAAAAAAAAAATCATGAATCAGCTGTATGGTGCTTTCTATAGAAGCTCATTGGCAGGATAAATTCTGGGTAAATGTGTTTGGGTTTCCCTGGAACACATAGAATGTTTTTCCTTCAAACAGCAGCAGAAATATGAACTAATCTTAAACGTGAATAATTGGTGATTTTTACGTGACTTTACACTCTGTTTGAATGGAAACGTGATTGAATGGAAACCTGGCAGTGGCTGAACTGGGACCAGCTGGTCAAACTGGAGAGCAAGAAGAAATGCACAGTTGGTAGAAATAGGGACAGGTATCGTGGGAAGAGCATAAGGAAGCTGCCAGGCTGTGTAGGGATGGGGTCAGAAAGGCCAAGGTCCAGCTTGAACTGAACCAAGGGATGCCAAGAATAAGAAAGGCTTCTACAGGTACCTCAACCAGAAAGGAGAAGTCCAGGAGCTTCGTGAAGCAAAAACCTGCATATTGGAGCAAATTCTCCTGGAATATGGCTAAGGAACATGGAAGACAGGGAGGTGATACAAGAGAGCTAGCTTGGCTTCAGCTTAGTGGCCTTTTATGATGGTGTCACTGCATCAATGGACAAGGGAAGAGACACTGATGTCATCTATCTGGACTTTGGTGAGGTCTTTGACACCGTACCCCACAACACCCTTCTCTCCAAATTGAAAAGAGATGGGTTTGATGGGCAAGCAGTTTGATGGATGAACAACTGGCTGTAGGATCGAATCTTGAGAGTGGTGGCCAATGGCTCCATGTCTGAATGGAGATCAGTGATGAGTGCCCAGGGCCTGGGCAACCTGATGTAGTTGAAGGTATCCCCGTTCACTGCAAGGGGGTTGGACTGGATGGCCTTTAGTGGCTCCTTAAAACTCTGAGGGTTCTATGATTCTACGATTTCATTTCCCACTGCTCAGACTAAGAACAGATACAGATTTTATTTAAAAAAACAAACAAACTATTTTTGAAATAGTATTCAAGTGCTCCTTCGTCGCTGAACAACCAAGGTGGAGGACTAGAACCACTGGGACAAGAGGAGGAGGAGATGGGTACAGGTAGAGAACAGCGGACAGAGGAAGAGCATCATTTGATGGTGGTTCCAGTCAAAAGAGTGGGAGAAGGAAAACAATCAGTAACTTTCTCTAGGGTTTGGAGTTGGAGCCCATCTTGTTGAATACTTCCATTAGCAACCTTAGCAGAAAAAATCCCTAATGAGGTGGTGATGTTCTGTGACGGTGCAATGCAAGGGAGACGTCGTCAACAGAAAGAAGCATGAGGATGTCATGCGGGAAATGCATAACTTTGAGGCTGAGTAATAGAAACGAGATTAAATTTAATGCTTAAAAGAGCTAAGGCATGTCCCAAAGACAAACCCAAATTCTTTGACTATTCTAGTAGCTGTAACCAGGTTCTGATGAAAGGATGGGATGGTCAAGAGCCATTGGTGTGGTGCATCTGTGAAAGCAAGAGTCAGAGAAGCTCATATCTGAAATGCTTTGTATTACTCATTCGAATCAGGGTGGGATAGGAATGGAGGAAAACAAGCAAAATCTGGGCAGAAAGAAGAAGCATTGAAGCTGAGGGACAGTGGTGGTCTAGGAACAGCCAAGCTGTGGATTATCTGGGGTTGAAAATTAGGAGGTTTCCCATCATCACAGAAGGGAGCAGTTGCAAGAGCTCCCCAGTGGGGTCAGAGGGAAGGCGAGGACACTCTTCCAGTCTGCAAAAGCAAAGAGCATCTGCATTCCACTGTGGGTCATAAATGTGCTTGGGTTCCTTGCAGCAGCAAAACTTGCAGGTTGTGAGATCTGTGTGGCAAGGAGCAATGCTCTCAGTGTGTCCAAACAGCTGGGCAGCGAGAAGAAGTGGGAGAAGGGTGAGCAGAGTTCAAAAGCAATGAGGCATCGGGTGGCAACCTCCACACCCAGCAAACACCTGTAATAACACCTCTCTGCAGCGCCTCGAGAAGGGCAATGAGCTCCACCGCGCACTGCCTCCTGCGAGGGGGACTTGAAGGTGGGACTCCAGCATGTACTCATCCCTGCTGCTGCACTGGTGGCTTTGCTTTAACGGTGCTTTCCTCTAAAGTTAGAAAACCTGCAGACATAGAGCTGGGTGGCAAAGTTGGGCCATCACAGCGCATCTCCCCACGATGAGGCAACACGAGACCCCAGCAAAATAAAAGCAGAGAGAGGAGAGAGGTGAAGCACTGTTTGGATCATCGGGGTTCCCTCAGCTCCTCTCCTATCCCTGGGTTGGCTCGGCTATACCTTCTCAGACCTCCCCCTCGGCAGGGTCTGTGGGGAGTGCAGCTCCACTGACTGCCGCCGCCGTGCCTCGCGCTCTGCCCAGTCCTCCTCTGGCTCCATGCCTTTGAAGATGGCGAGCCTCTCTGAGAAGGTTTTGGATTGTGGGAAGAGAATGTAATTGTAGATGATGGATGCAGCCGCTGCCCCAACCAGGGGGCCCACCCAGAAGACCTATGGAAAAAGGAAAGAGAAGAATGTGGTAAGCAGAAGCCTGCCCGTGCTTGGAGGATGAAGAGGAGAGGGTCTCTGGGTCTCTGAGAGCATTACAGGCATCTTATGGACTTGTTCATCCTGTTTTGCTGTTAAGACCAAATACAGAAGACAGATCTGCTCTGGCCCTCTCTTTGACTTGGTCATCTCTTGTCTGTTCCCTTGTTTTTATGCCTGAATGTACATGCCCACCTTCTTCTGTCTCTTCCTCCTCTGAGAGTGAATGCTGTAAGACCTCCACTTATGACAGCACTGTTGTGAGCAGGACAGTGGTTTGGGTTGCTGTGAAGATGTCATCCTACCCATTTACACAATCCTATGGAGAGGAAGAGGCTCCCAGCTTGGACACCACTAAGCATGGCCACAGCTTCAATGCTGAGCTGGCAATGCCTGGAAGTGTCCCTAAAAGAGCTGATGGAAAATACATGCCTGGATCCAACTGGAACCAGGAAAGGTCTCCAGGATGGTGAGAAGAGGTTCATTCTCCATTGGTTTTATCTCTTTTGTTAAGTCATGGTCAACAAAACACACCCCTTTTTCTGTTGCAACTCACCTTGCTTAGATAAGCTAATTAAGCACCCGGCAGCCCCACCTCTTTCTGCAAATCTCTACATCTCTCCTCTAAACAGGAGCTGGTGCTGAGATGCTGGACCTGGTTGGCTTTTTGTTTTTCTAAGCATGCTGATAACCTGGGGGGCCCATCCCACTGACCCAACACCAAGAGCACGATTCTTACCCAATGGTCACTAAAGTCTCCAACGATTACAGCTGGGGCAAAGGATCTGGCTGGGTTCATGGAGCAACCAGTGTAACGGATCTGCAGAGAAACACCACACTGAGTGCTAGCATTAAACCCTTTTACCACATTTTAATATATCCCGGTGTGTTATTAGCATGATTCATCCTCCAAGCCAGTGTTTCATATCCCAGTGTACCCCATTACAGGAAAAGAAATGCTACCAGCTTCCAGCACTTGAGTCAACACACTTGAATCCCATTTGTGCATCTCTGGTGCAAGCTGATGTGTCTGCATGGTGCAAGTTGGGTGACGTATACTGCAATGGGAACACGTTTCTGCCGTGCCTGTTCCTGGAGCACATTGCTACTCCTTGCCACAGAGGATTGAAGGAAAGTAATTCCACAGCAAGCCACAGAGGCTTGCATATCATTAAGGATGGAAGATGTGATGCAAACATTGCTGTTCTAATCCTGAGAGGCTGGGAGTGTTGGAGGATAATGCGTTTTTTTCCCTGCAAAAGTTAGCTGTGAGGGATTTCCCTGGCTATCCATCCTACATAATTCACAGTTTGTCATGGTCTTGAGAGTCACAGTTGCTAACAAGTTCGCTCCAAGATAGAAGACCCCATGGATCTGTGGGAGCTCTCAATGGGACTTGAGGAGCAGCAGATACAGCAGGTTATGGATTTTTTCGTGACCAATAACAGCTCAGCTCAGGCTATGGTTGTACTGTGGCTTTGGTGGAATTTTCCTGCTGTACCTGCTTCAAAACCATGAGTACAAACTGCATCAGTCACAAATCCCCCACGAGTTACAGACCTCTTGGCAGAAACACAGAGACACTCCACCAAGCACTGCTCTTTAACCCGTTCTACTCACTCCAAGGAGATGGCCAACAGCAACAGAAAAGCCAATGGACAGTGCAGGAGACCCCACATTGTCCTCCCGGCGTTCATCAGTGGAAGCAAAGATGCAGAGGACGAGCTGGAAGGTGAGGAAGAGCTCAACAGTGACCGCCTGCCCCGTCGTCGTCTCATTGTGCAGCTGGAAGGGGAGAAGACATTTCAGGAATGGGCAAATTCAGTGCCTGGACTGGAGACTTAGAGAGGAAACCCAGAAAGGCAGAGGAAACGGGTGAGATTTTTGGAGGAGGGGGAGAATTTTCCCAGGAAAAATGGAAAGTGCCTCAGTGGGCAACGTTTGATGGACATGGAAGGAAACGCTTTTGTGTCACTCATTTGGGCATTGTTTTTTCCGCTCTTTCCCCCAGAGGATTTTTTTCTCTCTTTGCCTCTTGTTTGAAATGCAAAATGCCTTTTGGAAAAAAAAAATATACGAATTGCTTTTTTTAAAAAAAGAGATATTTTGGCACAGAAAAAAAACAATAATCCCATCTTGCTTCCCACTCTTTGTCTACAGAAATACTCTGACTTGGTCCAAAGCTGTGCCTGTTGCGTACCCTCTCCTCCAACTCTGGTTTCTGGCACTTCACAAATCCTTGAAGGTTTTTAATCTGGATCTAGGTGGATCTGGCAGCAGCTATCTCTTCCCTCAGCCCATCCTGCCACATCTCTGCCTGTTCTTGCCCCATGTCACCCCTGCTTTGGGTGTCCCCCCAAATGCTGATCCCAAGAACGCTTTGCTCAGTGACACAGCACAGCAGCAATCATCCTCCTGCCCAAACACAGAGTGCGATCTCGCTCTTCTCTCTCTGATATTCCCCTAATTTTTGAAGGATGATCTGTGCAAGCAGCTGCATGACGAACAGCCCACAGGGGAAAAGAAAATCAAAATCTCTTCTTTCAGGTGCTTTGTGTTTTAAAACAGTATTTTGAAAGTCTCTTAGAACTCATACTGCTTTGTTGGGCTTATTAAACCTCAGCTCCTATCGATATAAATAGTCTTGTTCAGACTAATCCTCAGTTCCTTTTCAACCCTTTCAATCTCTTTGGCAGTGAAGCTGGGTCTGGCAGTGCCAGCTGACTTCTGCAAGAGAAAGGATTTCCCCGTTTCCTCCTGAAACACACTGCCTTCCTCCTCCTCACCAGCTCTGGATGATGATGCTGCTGGCATGGACACCTCTGCAGAAGCACAGCTGCTGCTACCCATGGAGAAGGGAGTTACAGTGAGCACTGACTTTCTCTTTCAGTCTCTGTGTACAATGTGCATGGTGTGCGAAGGGGATTTGGGATGTTACTGGGGAGTTTTTGTGGTTCCTGGTGTTCCCTCATTTTCTTTATTCTCCTCACATCTGTAAAGGGAGATCCTTGTGCTGTGGGTTGCAGAATGCTGTGTCTTTGCCTGGTGGCATTGCTGGAGCACTTTTATGTTCTGTCCCAGGTGGAACTGGGACGGCCATCCCTCCACAGTGGGATGTGACAAAATGAACAGTGCTATCTGATGAGAAGCTGGAGCTTAGACAAAAAAATCCAGGCTCATCATCCCCAGTGCCATGGAATCTCATAGCACAGCTATGCTCTATAGGTGGTGGCACAATGTAATGGAGAGGGGAGAAAAGGCTTCCCCTGCCCACACCAAGAGTGGTAGAAGGGATGGGACTGGGGCAAGAGGAGCTGAGAGAATCATAGAATTCTGTCACAGAGTCATAGAATGGCTGAGGTTGGAGGGGAAATTAAGAATCATCCACTTCCAACCTAACCCAACCCATGTCCTTCCCTAACCTGTATCTCCACAGAATCAAGATCTTCCTCAATAGAGCCTGAGATAAGACTGAGATGAGGGTTTGTCTCCTACCTAGGTGTCTCTCCAGCCAGCTGGATCACCTCTGTTTTCAGTTCCTAAAAGCAGAGGAGCCGGTCTGGAGCCCTGTCTTCATCCCTGCTGCTGGTAGAATCCATGCTATATCTCACCCTGCCAATCCAATGTTTAATAAAGGTCCTTGCTGATCCCAAAGCCCTCAGCCTTCCCCAATCTTCATCCCAAACCTCTCAGCTCCTTCTCTCACCCGCCATGGGCTGCAGCCTCACCTTGTTGACGGCCAAGCCTTCCCGCGAGTCGGCTGGGGTGATCTCGTGCAGGATGGCAGCCCCTGCCACGGCCCCCAGGAGCTGGGCCACCACGTAGAAGACTGCACGCAGGAAGGAGACGTGGGAGCCGACGAGGCAAGCCACCGTCACCGCCGGGTTGATGTGGGCTCCGCTGATGTGCCCCAAGGCTTGGACCAACGTGCCGATGGCCAAGCCAAAAGCCAACGCGATTTGAAGGGTGCTCGGGGCGGAAGCTGAGGGCCAGTTCAGAGCAGAGCCCAGGCCGAAGAGGATGAAGACCAAGGTCGCCAGAAACTCTGCCAGGACGGCCCGGGTGAAGGCTACAGAGCGGAGCTCCCACATTATGGAGGCTGCAAGGACTGGCCCTGCCTGCAGGGACTTCAGACAATCGCTGTAGCACTGCTGGGTCCAGAGATGATGATGGGGGTACAAGCCCTATATATAAGGGTATGGGATGCAGGAGGATTGCCCACTGAAGGAGGTGGGGTTGTGGTCCTGGGAAACCCGATGCTTTCCTTCATTTGTGTTCCAGATGAGGGAACTTCAGAGCCTGCCCCCGCTATTAAAGCTGGGGAATGCAGTGCTCACCATCCTTGGGAGGACATAAATCAGCCTTGAGCAATGCCAGGAAATGCTGTTTCCTCTTCCCAATGCTTTCTTACCAAGCCTTTGGAAGTGCTCCTTGCTCTGTCTCCCTATCACCTGCAGCATGGGGAGAAGAGAAAGTGAATGAGAAGTCTGTAGGGCCAAGGTGGAGCTGAGCTGGAGCCCTGCATCACCCACCCAGCCGCATGGACAACTTGTTTCAGTGTTGACCATCTCATGTCCTGCATCACATACATATAGATTTTTCCCTTCTCCTCTCTTTAGTATTTATAGCCATATCCATTTAAGGACAATGACTGATGTTGGTGCTTTTGACTCAAGATTGTGCATTTCCAATTAAGCTTTTATTAGCTTAAAGTGATACACTCCATGGGTCTTGCTGATGAGTATGGAGAATTTCAGGTTGTGGTGAGAAGGGGGCCATGATTGAACACCCAGGCAAAACTGAATGCACAGAGGCACCAACCTCCATGTGACTTACTAGAACTCAGAGAATCACAATTGTATGGCTCAGACAGAGATTTCCTACACAAAAAAATGGGAACCAGCCCCAAGAAATGATTGCCAGGAAAGAAATTCTAGTGTCCAAAAAATGGCACTCACAGCTGGAGTACCAACTCGACTGTTTGGCCACCTCAATGCTCAGAAACACTTTTTTACTTCCTGGCGTTGATCCCCATTGACATTTTCCTCTCCAGAGTATGGTCCCTTCCCATCAAACCATCCACCAATTGCTCAGCAAGTCCATTTTCCTTCTATTCCATTGCTAGGACTGGCCACGTCACTAAAGCCTTTTGCTCCCTGTGCCATAAGGACAGGTTGGTTTGCTGCAAAAATGGCCTTTTTTCCCTCTTTTTCTTCCTCTCATTAACAGACTCTTAAGCCATCCTGGGAAGAGTGCTCCCCCAGGGCAGAGCTGGAGATGAGAGGATCGTTTCATCTTCTATTTGGCTTCACAGAGGCTTCCGCTGCAAGACAAAACATTTCCCCTCCAGAGGAACTGTGTGAGTGCCACTGAATGGATGTGAAAAGTTGGCATAAAATGTTCCATATCTCTCAAATTGCTTCTTCCTCCACAGAAGGTGGGTAACAATACTGGCCCTCTCTTTACATACAAAGACTCCGATGAGAACATTGCCCTTAACAAAGGAGAAATTGTGGGGAAAACAAGGCCAGGGTGAGGATGGAAGATGTGGATTCAGCCCCTTCCTCTGAAAACTCCTCTGTCTGACTTCCTCGGTGACTTTGGCAGTGCCAAGAAGTGACTTTGGCTCCAGGCTCTGGTTTTCCAGCAGTGAAGCAGATCTTAAACAGCAGACTGTGAGGCTGCCTATGTTTGGGGTGCTGATAAGGCACAGAAATGTGGTCACATCCCGGCTGCAGCCTCCTGCTGCTCTCTGCCTGGGGTGGATTTGCAAACTTAGCATTGCTCAAAAATGCATTACGTCAGGGCCTGATTACAGGTGCAGGCTGCCAGTGGCGTAGGGAATGTCAGATAACTAATATGGCAATTACCTGGCGCTGATACCCTGTTTGATTAATAGTTATTCACGGCAAGCAAGGCGTGATGTGTCTCTGCTTAATGAAGACTAATTAAAAAAGCAAGAGAAGCAGGCAGGATTAGCTCTGAGCAACTTAAAACCCTGACACAGCCTCATGCTCCTCGCTTTCAGCTGGCGATGCGAAGGCTGATTGCAGCTGTTGAATACCCGGTGCTTTGGGATTTCTGTGTGCAATGGGTATGAAGAAGCTTGATGTTGCATCATGTGCTGTGTTGTACGGGCTGAAAGGAAGCTCTGTCACTGCAGTCTCTGCTGTGGGGCCAAGCAAACCATCACTGCATTCCAGCAAAGAGCAGCGACGCATTCCAGCTTTCACCCAGAGAGCTCCAGCATTGCAGGGAACGTAATCCATCTGGATTGCAGAGAGGGAGCACGGAACAGAGCCAGGTTTGCTGCTGCCAGACAGTGAACCAGGCAGAGCTGTGTTTCCTGCCTTGCTGCGCTGTGCCACCTCCATACTGCAAAACAGAATGGGAGATGGGGAAGACTGAAGAGCCTGGTGTGGGGCTGCTTGTAGCAAGGAGGGGTTTCTGGAGCTGCTGGTGCTGGTTGGAGAAACAAAGCCTTGTTGCTGCTGCAGCCTTAAGAGCAGCAAAGAGCTCTGCAGTGAAATGGAGATGGGAACGTCAATATTTTGCCTTTCAATCCACATCCAATGGAGCATAGCGGTACTGTCAGCCCTCCCCTGGGGATGGGGATGCACTGTGCCTCCTCCTGATGGCAGAGCAAGGCCCAGGAACACCTTTGTGAAGAACGTTTTGCAAGCGAGGGAACCGTGCTTGCACAACAGTGTACTTCTCAAGTGACTTAGATGGCTCAGATATCTCTGCTCCCCTGGCTTTCGGGAAAGTATAAACATCCTTCAGATATCTCCATTCCATCTGAAATACCTCTGAGCTACAGAGAATAAAAGATTTATTGCATAAAGAGCTGTGTGGGTTTTCTTGCTTGGATGCAGGAGATGAAGGTGCTGCCCAGACCTCTAATTTCCATTTTTTGGCTCTTTTCTGCAGATAGAGAGAGGCTGCAGACAACTCCTCTAACAGATGAACCCTCATCTGTGCAGCAAATATTAGACACTGGAGAATCCCAATGCCCTGTTTATTAGACAGCAAAGGACCCAAATACTATGCATGGCGATGTATTAAGCACAGGAGAACCCACAGCAGCACTAAATCTTGAGAAAACTTTCTAGCAACCCAGATCTGAGGGGTTCTGCTGTTTGTGATGTGTTGGGTTTTTTTTTTTTCCAAGGATGGGGGTATAATGTCTGTATCCCTCAAGGACAGGGGGCCACCAGGAGTAATCATATTCTGCCATAGTCATGTTGCCTCAGAAGGACACAGTAAAATGAAAGAAAATCAACACCTTTTCCAACATTTCAGGCCAAAGCCTAAACCCCTATTCATACAAAAGCTTCTGCTGGCTCTTACAGTGTTTATTGTTCTCGTTTTAATTGAAGTAGAGGGATTAATGCAGCTCTGATTTCCTTCACTGACTTCAATGAATTGCTCTTGAGAACAGACCAGGAACAGGGCTGGGGCTTTGCTTTATTTTTTTACCCCATTTTAAGAACTTGCAAGTTCAGTCCTGAATGTTTGCCCAGGGCTTTGTTCAAGGTACATAGCAAGACTGGTGTTGGTGGAGCTGGGTTATGGATTATGGCAGGATCACCGCATTCCTCTGCTGGCCTTGCTGCAAGCAAAAATCGTTTTTCTTTTGCTAATGAGTCCCATAATGGACAGAAATGAGGAGAGGGAGAAATCACGGTTTCTTTTCTGCAAAGGGACTGCATGGAGGGAATGTGGCCAATCCCAGCACATTACAAGGTCACAGAGAGGGCTGAGCCTGGGGATGAGCTCCCTTCAACCACCTCTTAAGGGCTGCAGGAAGGAGGACATTTTCCTCTTGTCTGAGCGACGAAGTTCAAGGCCAACGCATGGCACACTTTGCACAAATGTTTGTAGGAAAATAATTATTGCTTTTTCCCTTTAATTGATAAAACAAAGCCATAGACCGGGATACCCATGTAGCCATCAGATTTTGATCTGAGATAGACCCCTTGGTCTTATCAGACTGTGCGAGTAATTTGTGCTCAGTGTTACCTACTCAGGCATGAGAATTACATCAGTTAAAATCAGATTGCAACATCATCCCAGGTGACAGGAGCGAGCAGGAGACCTCACTGTTACCCTTCACTGCAAAAGCTGTGTCAAGTTTGCAAAACAAATCACATCTGTGATCCAGACTCCCAGAGGGTGTAAGTGGGGGACACAGATTTGACATCAGTCATGGAGCATCCAATATCGGACTCTTGCATGGCTTTCCTCATTTGGAGATAAATCAAAAGTCCGTGAAGGAGAAGTGAACAAGCTTGATTCACAGAATCATGGAATCACAGGGGTGGGGAGGGATCTCTGGAGGTCATTGAATCCAACCTTAATGCTAAAGAAGGTTCCCTATAGCATCACAGGAAAGCATTTCCCCCTGGGGAACCATTGGCTTTCTTGGCCACCAAAACACGCTGCTGACTCGTGGTCACCCTGTTGGCCACGAGGACCCTCAGGTTCTTTTCTGTAGAGCTCCTTTCCAGCAGCTCAGCTCCCAGCCTGCACTGATGCACATGATTCTTCCTACCCAGGTGTAGGATTCTGCAATCTCCCTTCAGCCAGGCTGAACATTCCCAGCCTGCCTCCGAATGGGAGATTCTCCAGGCCCCTAACCTTTGTGGCCCTCCACTAGACTCTCCCTAGAAGATCCTTGGTTGCTTTGAACTGGGAAGCCCAGAACTGGACACAGTGTTCCAGACATGGGACGTGGCCTCCCCAGGGCAGAGCAGAGGGGGAAGATCATCTCCCTTAATCTGCTGGCAAGAACATCCCAGGGAACCGTTGGCCACCTTGGGCACCAGGCCACACTGCTGGCTCACAGTCAACCTTTGGCCAACTGTTGGTCAACTGTTGGTCAATCGCTGGTCAGCTGGGACACCATTGCCCTTCCTGGCTATGAGAGCACACTGCTGCCTTGTGCTCTAACTGTAGACCACCAAGACACCTCCACAGAGCTCCTTTCCAGCAGCTCAGCCCCTGACCCACGACTGATGTGTGTGTTCTTCCTCCCCAGGTGTTCCCCACGTTGAACCTCGTCAGGTTCCTCTCCACCCAACTCTCCAGCTGTCCAGCTCACTGGATGGCAGCATGGCCTTCTGCTGCCTCAGCCACTCCTCCTAGCTTTGTGCCATCACTGAGCATGCTGAGGGTGAACTCTGTCC